GGTGGGTTAGGGATGGGAAAAGGTCATACCAAGTATAGGAGCAGCTGAAGGAACTGCACCAGGCTAAGATGGGAGGGACATGTTTGGGGGAAGGGAAAAAAACCCAACCCTATGGCTTAGGTTTCTATATTTATAACCCAAACAGGCAAGCAAAATTTAAAGAGGGATGATCAGGGCAAAAGAGCTGTAGCCTCTCATGGAAGCAAGTAAGAGTGGAGCCCGGCGCCATTGGGGTCTTTTAAATCCCATGTCGGGCCCGCTTTGTTCCAGCCTTGATAGCATTCTTTGCAGCAGGGGTCGAGGCTTTGGCCATAGGATGGTGTTGGGATTCAGGAAGGGTGCATACACGTTTTCAGACAATTGCTGTAAAACCTCACAAGGGGAGCCTCAGGGTTTCAACGGCATCAGAACCAGACTGTGCTGTGGGATCACACCGCTCTACAGGCCCGTAGCCAGAATTTCTTTCAGTCGGGGGGGGGCATTTAATTTTTTTAGGGGGCTAATTGAATGAAAGGAATACCTGTCTCCTTCCCTGCACCTGCCACTGCATGGGGGCAATGCTCCCTCTAAGCCTTGGAGTCTTGTGAGCAAAAATTCTACTGGCATTAAAGTCGTGAGCGAGCCATTTAGCTACTGTATCAGTTAGTTTGTCCTGGAGCCACCCTTCCTGAGCTAGGACAAAATTATGTGAGCCAGGGGCTAAAAAAACCCCCTGTGAGATAGCTCACACTAGCTCAGCTTAGAGGGAACACTGCTCGGGGCCCCTGGGCTGGATGGGAAGTTGGTGGGGGGGCCTTGCCCGTAAGTCAGGGGGCCTAGCCCCGAGATGCCCCGCTGTGGCTACCAGTCTGCCGCTCTAGCAACTAGGAGAAACCATAAGGTTCAGCCACAGTCTTTCCTGCGCGATACAGGGGGTAATGCTGCTGAGCGCTTTCCGTATCAAAAATTCAAAAACAATTGATGCTCTGAGTTTGGTGTCTGCTATAAAAGGTCTCACGCCAGGTGGGTATCGTCAAATACGGGCCATAGAGGGGAATCATCCAGGGGAAGCGTCCGCATAGGCATTCTAGTGTTTAGGACTTCTGGCTGCCAAGAGTCTACAAGACATCTTTAAACTTTGCAAAGCCTCAACAAAATATGAGGCAGAAAACTGCATTTGCATAGAGGGGCTGAGGCAGGATGGGAAATGCCCCTTTGATCAACATTTCATGGTTCCTCGGTTGCATTCAGTTTTAAAAGGGGAACAAGTCTCCAACATCATAGTTATCAGTATGTCAATCCACAATGAAACTGGAGAGGCTGGGGCCGGGTTCCCCAGGCTTTATTACAGCATGAATTCATGATGAGCAAAGGGGTAGGGAAGACAGAAATGCCCAAAGCCAATCGAGATAGGGCAGCGACAGCATTACCAGCAGTTTACACCTGAGAATCCGTGTTAATCTGCTGCAGCAAATATGCAGGAGTTTGGGGGCGATTTAAAGACTAAAGAATTGAGCGTAACTTTAATTCTGATTGTTACTCTTAAGGTTCGTATTTCTCCCTCTTGCTCGCTCTTTTTTTTTTTTTTGCAGAAATTTACACGAGAGTTTAGGGTTAGTTTATTCGGTGTAAAACCAGCACAGATCAATTACAATCAATTATTCGGTGTAAAACCAGCACAAATAAATCACAATCAATTATTCGGTGTAAAGCCAGCACAGATCAATTGCAATCAATTATTCGGTGTAAAAGCAGCTCAAATCAATTACAATCAATTATTCGGTGTAAAGCCAGCACAGATCAATTACAATCAATTATTCGGTGTAAAACCAGCACAAATCAATGACAATCACCTCAATAGTGTCAATACAAAGAACGGTACTAATAAAATATATAAAATATCAAACATTTAAATAGAAACTGTATTTAAGAGTTAAAAATTTGCTAAAACTCTACATTTCTACAATACTCTAGCAGCCGTTGGCTAAGAGCCATTCAACTGTCGATAAGTGTTATAAGGGTTATAAAACTCTACTCCGCATCCCCAGATAAAACCAGCACAAATCAATGACAATCACCTCAATAGTGTCAATACAAAGAAGGGTACTAATAAAATATATAAAATATCAAACGTCTAAATATAAACTGCATTTAAGAGTTAAAGGTAAAGGTTCCCTTGCTCGAAAGCCAGTCGAATCCGACTCTAGGGTTGCGGTGCTCATCTCCGTTTCAAAGCCGAAGAGCCAGCGCTGTCCGAAGACGTTTCCGTGGTCATGTGGCTGGCATGACTAAACACCAAGGTGCACGGAACGCTGTTACCTTCCCACCGAAGCGGTCCCTATTTATCTACTTGCAATTTCTTGCTTTTGAACTGCTAGGTTGGCAGGAGCCGGAACTAGAGACAGGAGCTCACCCCATCTTGCGGCACCCGGGTCTTGAACTGCTGAACTACTGACCTTCCACAGCCTGCAGTTCAGTGTCACCGCAGTTACAAATTTGCTAAAACTCTACATTTCTACAATACTCTAGCAGCCCTTGGCTAAGAGCTATTCAACCGTCGATAAGTGTTATAAGGGTTCTAAAATTCTACTCGGCTTCCCCAGATTATTTCTAAGATTGTTCTAATTGAGAACTGCCGGAGTTGGGACGCGAGTGCAGCGGTGTCGCTCTGCCCCTAGGGGGCCACCGCTACCCAGGGAACAGAGTCCGGCCCTTGAGCGGCGACTCCGTTCTCAGGGCCCTAAAGCTCTCCGCCAAGGTCTCTCTTTGGCACGGATCTTTTGCAGCGTCGCCCCCATGCCATCCAGAGGGGCGACACCTGTGCGCAAGCAGCCTGTGAGAACAGAGGGGAGCCATAAGTCAGGAGCGGTGGGGCATGTTTTATTTTGGGCAGGAAGCCGTCTCTCCCCCCCTCCCCTCCCTCCCTAGGATGGGAAGGATGCGCCGACGGGGTTTTAAACACGCGGAGCTGGGAGCAGCGAGCTGCAGCCTGTAACCATCCAGCAGCACTCGCCAGGTAACGAAGTCAAAGCCCCCCCATCCCACCCACCCCCTCTCTTTTTTCCCTGCACGGCGCTTCTCTGGCTGTAGCCTTCCCCCTTTTTAAGAGAAACGAACAAAGCCAGACTTTAGCAACTAATCCTTCGCTTGCGTCCCGTGCGCCTCGGTGTTTAGTCATGCCGGCCACATGACCGCGGAAACGTCTTCGGACAGCGCTGGCTCTTCGGCTTGGGAACGGAGACGAGCGCCGCAGCCCTAGAGTCGGACTCGACTGGCTTTCGAGCAAGGGGACCTTTACCTTTACCTACCTTCGCTTGCTTGGGGAGGAAAGGAAACGTTAGGGGGGTTTATCCATTTCCCGTGGTAGGTGTTTTGGGGGGGGGGGTGGCGGGATCCCGGAGCGAGCCGATGGACTGCTCCGATTTGGGTCGCGACCGCCGCGTTCTCGGAACCAGGAGGCGCGCTTAAGCGCTAGCCGGCCGTTGCCTGCGATGCATTTTTGTCCTTTGCGCCTGGGGGGTGCATTCGCGGTGCTTCGTCCACGCGCGGCTGCCTGCAAGTGACTCGCCCCGGGCGGTTTCCAAAGCGACGCTGCGTTTTGCTCGGAAAGAAATCAAAAGCACGGAGAAGCCTCTAGCGGGGTTTACTTTTTTTTTTTTTTCTCTCCCTTTCTTCCAATCTAAGCTGCACACTCCGATTTGCGGTGTTCGAAAGGAAAGCCTATCCCCCGGGCGCACTGAATCTGCTGCCTATTATAGATAGCCCTGAGCAGTGTTCCCTCTAAGCTGAGTTGGTGTGAGCTAGCTCAGTTTTTTAGCCTCCAGCTCACGGATTTTTGTCTTCGCTCAGGAAGGAGGGCTCCAGAGCAAGCCAAATCGCTCGCTCACAACTTTAATGCCAGTGGCTCACAAAGAAGAAGTTTTGCTCACGAGATTCCACAGCTTAGAGGGAACATTGGCCCTGAGTGCTGAGAATGCAGCTCCGTACTGTACGAGGGAGGGCTGGAGAGCAGTGAGCTGTGTGCATTGGCAGATGGGAGTACAGGCAGGGGTGGATTCACCGTGAAGCGGACTAGGCACGTGCTTAGGGCGCCAGGGCCAAGAGGGACTCCAGCCAATGCTCCCTCTAAGCTGTGGAGTCTTGTGAGCAAGAATTCTACGTTGTGAGCTGCTGGCATTACAGTTGTGAGCAAGTGATTGGACTCCTGCATTATTTCGTTTGCTCTGGAGCCATCCTTCTGTGAGCTAGGACAGAGATGTGTGAGCCGGAGGCTAGAGAACGGTGAGCTAGCTCACACTGACTCAGCTTAGAGGGAACACTGGGCACCACAACGTTGGGGAAAGGGTGAAAAGCTCCGTTTGTACAGTATATTGTGTGATCCTATGAATAAATGTTTGTATTGCTGCAACCTGCATTGTAGATCTGGTCAGACAGGTCAACAACGAAAATGGACTGGGTCAGTGTGGAAGGGAGGAGGGGGGCACCAAGATTGGTCAGTGCTTAGGGCACCCGTGAGCCTTCGTCCGCCCCTGAGTACAGGAGAAACTCTCAGACCGATTTCACACAAGAGCTGCGCCCGCAGTCGCGCCTCCCTTTGCCCCGCTTCTATTGGTCAGTTTCCCACTCGAAGCCGCGCAGCCACCCGCGGCTTCGCCCGATTTCCCCCTCGGTTTTGTGATCCTTAAAAAACAGGATCACAGAACTGCGGGGAAAATCCGGCGAAGCCACAGGTCAAAAGGCAGCCGCGCGGCTTCGAGTGGGAAATTGACCAATAGTAGCGGTGGGAAGGTAACAGCGTTCCGTGCGCCTTGGTGTTTTGTCATGCCGCCACATGACCACGGAAACGTCTTCGGACAGCGCTGGCTCTTCGGCTTTGAAACGGAGATGAGCACCACAACCCTAGAGTTGGACTCGACTGGCTTTTGAGCAAGGGAACCTTTAACTTTACTTTTTAAAGAGAGGTGCGACCGCGGCGCAGCTCTTGTGTGAAATCTGTCTCACCCAGGCCATTCCCAGACAGATCAGCTGGTCTCCTGTTTGGGCAGTAGGATTTTTTTTTTTAAAAAAAAAAACACCATGAAAAATAACAATACAGATGCATTTAAAAGCATAATAAAAAGAATAGCTGTTGTAGCTTGCACTGTGACTCCATATCTTGTTTATGTGAAAATGCTGCTCTCTGCCAAAAGGAATGACCTTCATCTAATAAGCTTGAGGTGCAACTTCCCCCCCCACACACACACACAGTTCGCATCAGAAGGGTCTGGATCGCAAGTGTTTGGCTTCATTTCAGCGGCTGAAACCTTCTATTGGCTATTTAGAGTCGTTCGATGAATAGTGAATTCTTGGCTGCTTCAGGGACAGTTCTCTCCCCTTTGCTTCCAGACTGGAGTGTGTGTTTGTGGAGCGCTCCCATGATGTTGTCCTCCAATGGTTCACTTTCCCGATTTTCCCTCTCCTCAGCACATTCTTTCGCATTCCCAAACCTGCTTCTTACTACAGTATTTTTTTTTTTAAAGAACACAGTCCAAACACATTACAATGCTGTCTGGACGGGGAGGCATGCATTTTCAGAGGTCCCCACCCACACGGGCACTCAGTGCCGGATTTACGCATAACCTAAATAAGCTACAGCTTAGGGCCTCGCAATCTGCTGGGGCCTCAAATAAAAAAAAACCCATATAAAAATGATTTTAAAAATCTCATAGAAAAATCACTCAAATGAAGTCAGACATATCACGATGATAAATTCTAAATGATTTTAAATATACAAAATATAGGTAAAGGTAAAGGTTTCCCTTGCTCAAAAGCCAGTTCCAGAGTGGGCCCTGCAGGGGTATCACTCACTGGGTTGAATGGGGGTTCCTCATCTGCCTCTGCAGGGGGGGGGAGCAGCCCGTCAGTGTATTTTCTGTTGCTCTCTCACTCCCCCACCCCAAAAAGGGTCTTGCTCTTGTAATCTTGTGGTATATTCATTGTATACATGTAGTGGAATTGTCTGCTCTCTTCCCCTAATATCTGTGTGATTTGGTTTGGTCCTGCTGGATGGAGCTCTTGTTTCAGTTTCATTTTGTATGTGCTGAATGGACCTGAGAACAGGTGGCTCAGTGAGTACTGTAGCCTGGGAACCCACAGCCAAAGGGAAACATAAGAACATAAGAGATGCCAATGTTGGATCAGGCCAAAGGCCCATCCAGTCCAACACTCTGTATCACACAGTGGCCAGAAATACCAGTGCCATCAGGAGATCCACCAGTGGGGCCAGGACAGTAGAAGCCATCCCACTGTTGACCCCCCCAAGCACCAAGAAGACAGAGCATCACTTGCCCCAGAGCCCCTATCTATACCTTGTGGCTAATAGCCACTGATGGACCTCTGCTCCATATGCTTATCTAATTCCCTTTTGAAGCCGTCCATGCTTGTAGCCGCCACCACTTCCTGTGGCAGTGAATTCCAAGTGTTAATCACTCTTTGGGTGAAGAAGTACTTCCTTTTATCCGTTCTAACCCAACCGCTCAGCAATTTCATGGAGTGCCCACGAGTTCTTGTATTGTGAGAAAGGGAGAAAAGTACCTCTTTCTCTACCTGCTCTTTTACGTTACAGTGTAAGCCTTCAAGCTCCTTTTTAACTGCTGGGGGGGGGGG